CAGAGAGTGAGGGAGAAAGAAGAGGGAAAGAGAGAGAAGAGGGAGCATGAGAAAAAGAAGATGGGACAAGAAAGAAATAAAGAGGGAGAGAAAAGAAAAGTATGAGAAAGGAGAGGGAAAAAGAAAGAAAAGAGAGAGTAGGAGAAAAGAGAGAGGAAGCAAGAGAGAGGAAACAGAAAGAGTGAGCTAAAGGAGATGGAGTGAGAGAGGGAGTAGAAAGGAGAGGAAAAGGCAGAAAGAAAGAAACGATCAGAGAGAGAGGACAAGAAAGATAAGAGAGAGTGTAAGAAAAATAAGAAGGGAAGAGAGAGAGAGAGAGGGTGAGAGAAAGAAGAGGGAAATAGAGAGAGAAGACAGAGCGTGAGGAAAAGGAGAGGGACGAGGGAGAAGAGAAAGAAAGCATCAGAAAATGAGAGGGGAAGAGTGAGAGAGAGACAAAGGAGTGAGAGAAAAGAAAAAGGAGAGAGAAAGAAAAATTAAAAACAGAAAGAAAGGGAGGAGGATAAAGGAGATGGGAAAGGAGAGCAAAGAGAAAGAGTGAGAGAAAAGAGAAGGAAAGATGAAGCTGAGAGAGAGAGAGAGAGCGAGAAAGAGAAGAAAAGAGGAGCAGGGAAAGAGAGGGAGAGAAAAGGGAGACAGAGAGAAGGAGAGGAGGAAAGAGGGAGAAAGGAGACATAAAAAGGGAAGTGAGAGGGAGAAAAGAGAAAGAGTGAGAGAAAGGTGAAGGGAAGAGAGGGGAGAGAGAGGTAAGGAAAACAAAGAGAAATTAGGGAGAAATGAGAGGGAAATAGAGAGAAAAGAAAGAGTGAGAGAAGAGAGAGATTGTGTGAAGGGAAAGGAAAGAGAACGGAGAGGGGGAGGAGTGAGAAGCATAAAGTAAAATAATGACTATTACAAGATGAGGAAGAAAGATTAAGGACAATGAGAGAGTGAGGGATAAAGAAGAAAAGAAGAGAGGGAGGGTAGTAGGTAGGAAAGGAGTAAACTAATGGGAAAGATTAGAATGATTTACACACAGGCCTAGGAGACTGTCAGACATGGCAGCACAATTTGACCAACCCCAGGTTGGGTAGTACATGCCAAAATCTGAACATTTCCATTCAGTCAGTGGAGAAGAGGAGACAAGCATCATTGGCAGATGCTACTTGGGCCACTTATCAAGGCGAGGATCAACAGTGTTTGGAGCAGGTTTTCTTACAGACATTATCAACTATTCCTACCATATGGCAGTCATACACAGGACTCATACACAGGAGTTTGTTGTCACTCAATGAGGGTGAAAACATCCAGAACAGGCCACTGTCATCTCATATTCATGAGCAGTTTAGAAGAGTAATCCCAGAACTTGTTTGGCTTTGCTCCAAATTCCCAATTAAGTTTTCATGACATTTCTCTTTTTTTATTTCTCTAGACTTGATTGGGTAGTTGAGGTCAATGAAGGCGAGGTGAAATGAGTGCTTCAGTAAAACAGCCCATGTGGAGTTGGTGTGAATAAGGCAGAGAGAGAGTGTGTATGAGAGGAAGTAAGAGAGATGGAGGGAGAAGGAGTGAGAAGAGGGAAAGGGTGAAAGAAAATGGGGAGAGAGAGAGAGAGGTGAGGAGAGACAGATGTGAGGAGAGCGAGAGACAGAGAGGTGAGTTGAGAGATAGAGGTGAGGCGAGAGGGGTGAGGAGAGACAGATGCTAAGAGAGAGAGGTTAGGAGAAAGAGGGAGTTGAGTCAGAGAAAGAGAGAGGTGGGGAGAGGGAGGAAAAGACAGAGAAAGAGAGAGAGCAGGAGATTGGTGAACACAGAGAGGAGTGTGGAGAGAGGTAAGATGAGTGAAGAGAGAGAGGTGTAGGGAGAGAGGGGTGAGGAGAATAGAGAGAGAGCGAGAGGAGAGAGAGGGACGAGGAGAAGAGGAAGAGAGAGGGAAGGGGGGGGGAGAGAGGGTGGTGAGGGGGGAGGAGAAGAGGGAGAGAGAGAAAGGGGAGAGAGAGGGAGTGAGAAAAGGGAGACAGAGAAGGAAAAAAGAGAGGGAGAGAAGAGGGAGAGAGAGAAAGGTGAGAGGGAGCGAGAGAGAGAAGAAGGGTGAGGAGGAGAGGGAGAGAGAAGGGTGGGTGAGGAGTAGAGGACGGAGAGAGAGAGGAGGGTGAGAAAAGTAGGGATAGAGAGGAGGAAAGAGAGGGAGAAGTTATAGGAGAGAGGGGTCAGTAAAGCGAGAGAGAGAGAGAGAGGGGGGGGGAGAATAGGGGGAGAGGAGAATCTTGCAAAAAGATGGGGGAGAGGAGTGGGGACGATAGAGAGAGAATGGGAGAGAAAGACAGGATGAAGAGGAATGGGGAGAGACCGAGAGGAATGGGGGGCAGCAATACAAAGTAGTAAGGGGAGAGAGAGTCAGAGGAGTGGGGAAAGACAGATCCCTGGAAGAGAGGCAGCCATACAACCAGAAAGGTGAAACTAAAGTTCTGTGTCTGAGGCTGATTCATTAAATGAGCTAAGAACCTTTACACAATAAACGATGTAAATATTAATGTGAATCATTTAATCATGCGGAAAGCACATTTCTGATTACTTACTTCATCTGCACACCATTGGATAACTGAAGTGACTAGTTACATTCTTTATTGAGTGAAGATCCCCAGCTCTTTTGGTAAATCAGCCAAAGTATCCAAAGTATCTAGCTGCAAATCTGCCAAATTCTACCAATCTTATATTTTTCAATGAATACAGAATCATAAACTGCATGACTGTCTACAAAACATAACCCAAAACATAAAAGTCTCCAAGTAAATGAAAAGTTCAAGGAAATTTGCTCAATTCGTGTATAAGCTTTGCCACATCTAGACTAATCGATGTACACAAAGTGCAGCAAAGAAGAGGAAGACAGGACATTTAAATTGTAACTCATAACATCCACCCTGGGCTCATCTCTCTCTGGGAAAATGAGGTCCTGCGGGGGCTATTATGCTCCACTGTTGCCCTATTTTGTTTTCTTTCGCTAATGGACCCCAGAACGAGGGGGGAGGACAAGAAGCAGAGACAGAAAAGCAGACTAGAAACCCAAAAAGGTTCAGTAGACTCTAATCCTCCTCTCAGATGTTATACTTGTCCTCTATGTAACTTTATATTACACAATCCTCTATACTAGCTCTTCAATGCTCTGTGTGTTTTCCATGTCATTCTGGACACAGCACTGATCACAACCTCTGATAATAAACTAACCATTAAAAGGCATCACCCATTTAATGTTGTCATACTTTACACATTCAATTACAGCCAGGTGCTGGTATCTGTATTTTATATTAAGCATGATGTTCACATTTCCTTTAATTGTATCTTCTAATTTATTTGTATTCCCAAGGTCATCAGCAATCTATCATATGGTTCATAATAAATATCTTGAGAAAGGTAAAACACAAATGTGTGTGGATACAACACTGACACACCACTGGGAGGTCTCATATTGCACCTTGGTTTTATTCAGTTTTTAGTGCATTTAGCCGTGTACTTTCTTTTTCTTTTTCTTTTTTTTTATTTATTTAACAGAAAAATGATTTGTTTTCCTATAATACGCCCAGAAAAGTAAAAGGTGCTATGTACAATTAAAATAATAGTTTAAAAGATTTTTTTTTTTGTACAGTGTGTGTTTGTTCCATTTTATAATAGAGAAATAAGAGAGGAAATACTGTACAACAGCTATCGGGACGCTTATACACTGATAAATACGGTGTTCAGCAACACACGGATAGGGATAATCAGTTCCAATATTGGGGCTGAAATAATCAATAGTATTCTAGGAATTGTACGGATAGGGGATGAGGGGCGAGAATAAGAGGGGTTGGCTCCTAAAGTGGACACACTGGTGAGATTTATATCCTCCAGATAAAAATATATATATAAACAATCCTTTCAAATTATCTACCATCAGATAGATGGTGAGGGCCAATTTAGGTTTATTTATTGCATTCATTTTTTTTAGCACCTTTTGATAACCATGTTGGTGCAATTTTATTTTTGGGATGAATAGTACAATATTTTAGGTGAGCATTTTGGTGCATTTTTGCCTCAATTTTATTTATATTTATAGCAATTTTATTTATATTTATAGCAACACATTTTTATTCATAGCAATATAATTAAAATCGATGCAGAAATTGACCAAAATGCTCATTAAACACCTCCAGGACCCACCAAAAACAAAAATAAAGGTAAATGCAACTTCATGTTGAAGGAACTTTGATTGGATATTATTTGAATTGATTTCTTAGATAGGTCGCCCAATACTGCACAATTGCTCTTCCATCTGGAAGATTAAAATCTGATTGCATGTGACCAGCTTATTTGTGATTCCAGGGGCCACAGGGTAGATCCATCTAGAACTCCCTTTTAAACTGAGATCTTCCTGGTCAATCTTATACTGTTTAGGAGATCTTTGACTGGGACCCTGAAATATGCTGATCATGTGTTTTCAATACTCATTCAATGTAAACTGGCGTTTCCAGCTATGTGTTGGGGCACAGGATTCTGTGATCTGTAGTCCAGCAGCAGCTGACAGAGTGCTATCAATAAACACAGACCTGTCATGCACTGACAGCTAGCACCGTTCAATTCGCTGTGCCAACAAGGACAACACTGGAGTACAAGAGATGCAGTTTACTTACAGTGTCTGAATCTATCACAAAGCTCAGGCTTGCTGTCATTTGCCCTGGCAGCAGGAATTAAGGGGTTAAGGCATCTTTTTCTTTTTTTTGGGTGACCACGTGGTTCATTAGGTTTAGTGTTTATAACAGTGCTCATGCGATCACCCAGTTTATAACAAGAGAGAGACTAGTCGTGGGCGATAATACCTCGATGTCCTCCTCCTCCTCCTGCCAAAGTGTCACAGTATGTGGCACAGACCACTGGGGCCATGGGGCCCCCTCCAGGATCCCGAAGGTTTGTGGCCACAGGCTGCTGCCACCGCTACCTTATCACATCCACTCCCTTGTGTCCAATTGCAAAAAGTCTCTCTGCCAGTCCTACCAAGCTCGGATCCCTTGTAAAGTCCCCTGGCAGGCGGGCACAGAAGACCCTGTGTGGTTCTGGGCTTGTGTGGCATTGCCAAGCTGGCTCAGGTTGCCCATGTTGACAAAGGGGTTAGTCCCTGCGTTGTGCTGGATGGGGGGGATCCCGGAGTAGCTGCAGCTGTAGTTGGTGTTGTAGGAAGGGCTGTTGTTGTAGCTGTAGGCCGGGTAGCTGTTGTAGGTGTAGGGACTGGCAGCTACATTGTAGGCACTGTTGTAACCCTGACTGCCAGCAATGCAGGGCTTCCCATCCCGGACCAGCACTGGCACTGCCACCCTTCTAGGCGGGGGTGGATGGTGGGTGCCCATCTCCAGGGACTTGTCCTGCCTCTGCCTCTTGCATTTGTATCTCCTGTTCTGGAACCAGATCTTCACCTGGGTGGAGGTGAGCTTCAGGCTGTTGGCCAGGTGCTCCCTCTCAGGGGCAGACAGGTACCTCTGCTGCTTAAACCTTCTCTCCAACTCAAAGACCTGAGCCTGGGAGAATAGGACCCGGGGCTTCCGACGACTCCTCTGCTTGGGTCTCTCCGACTCGTCCGACTTCTCCTCCGGGTGGGGCGACTTGTTCAAGTAGCAGGCCTCTGTACAGAGAAGACACCCAAATTACCACCGTTATAGTCTATAAACACCACAGGGCTCGGCTTATCTCAAGCCAATAATGGAAACATAAAACGCTTCTCATTTCAAATATATATTTTTAATAAATGAATTGTAATGGCAGCTTATTATCATTATCATTATTATTATTTCTATTGTATTTCATAGTAGCGCTAAAGATTCCCTCCCCCGGGGTTCTGGAGAAAAGATTTAACTTTCTTCTAAACATTCGGATAGTTTTTGTCTAAAGTTCTTCTGAGAAATGATAGTTTGTAACACAGAAACCATGACAGGGAGAAAGACCGCCGCCGGGTTGTGGTTTGTTACACAGAAAGCTAAATCAATCCAACAATAATATTTAATATAATTACATATTAAAAACAACACAACATGTAGAACATGAAATGATTATCCTGAGGAAAAGGAAGAGGAGCTGCGATCACTTATTGTGAATATCTCCTTAATGCTTGTGAGGAATACTTGTTTTATGTTTTATGTTGTATGCTGCTGGGGATATTTATCTTGTTTCACTTTGGTGTGATATATCATTATATTTTATGTTTTTTTATATTCATATTTTATTTACATGTGTTCATGATAAACAGATTGACCTTTTATATCCAACAATACAATTTCCCAATCAATGGACAACATGCCGCTTCTTTATCAAGATGAATATTGTCCATTGGAGGTGTTTGGGATGTCTATTATCATTCTTCATATGTTTATATACATTTTGTAAATTATTATTATTATTATTGTTATTATTATTATTGCTGTTACAAATATTCTAACTACTAATAATGTTGTTGCTGTTTATTGTATATCTAAATATTTATGTGTTACTTCCTCTACTCAAATGTTGCTGTTTTTTTGTGTTATTATAATTGTTATTGTTGTTTTGCATTATTATTATTATTATTACTACTACTAGTAGCAGTAGTAGTACATAGATTCTGTTTTTGTTGAAATATAGTTCTTATAGTTATTTGTACTATTAATAATAATATTATTATTATTATCATTATTGATTTTATTACTACTACTACTATTACTACAATGTTGCTGTTGTTTTTGTATTGTTATAATTGCTGTTTCCCATTATTATTATTATTATTGTTGTTATTATTACTACTACTATGTTGACATTGTTTTGTATTATTGTTCTTTTGCATTTGTATTTCTGCTGCTGCTACTACTTTGTTGCTGTTGTTTTGTATTGTAATAATTGTGGTTTTGCATTTTTATTACTGCTGCTGCTACTATGTTGCTGTTGTTTTGTATTATTATTATTATTATTATTATTATTACTGCTACTATGTTGCTCTTGCTTTGCATTATTATAATTGTTGTTTTGCATTATTATCATTTCTGCATCACAATTGTTGTTTTGTCTATTTCTTGTCATTATCTTTTCTCCTAATGATGATGAGATGTACTCACTGTGGCTCGGATCTACCAGCGATTCCTCATCCTCGTCCTCCTCTTCTTCCTTGGGGTTACAGGAGTCTCGGAGGGCAGTGTGCACATACCTGTCATGAGTGATGCCCACCTCCCCATGGCCCTCAGCAGCCCCTATAGAGTTCAGGTAGGGGAGTTTGTCGTCCCCCTCTGTGTAGGCAGCTCTGTCTCCGGCTGCCAGCATACATGAAGCCTGGTGGAAGTCCACAACATCCAGATCTGGGGTTAGGAGAGCCCTGGATTGCTGCTGCTGGCACTGGGGCTCCCGGTTGAGGATGTCTTTCACAGAGAAAGGTGTGGAAGTGACTGGGCTTGGTAACATCATCAGAACAACTTAATTGCAAGTCCAAATAATCAATAAATCGTGCTGAGGGAGGGGTGAGCAGAGCTGCCCTCAGCCTGGGAATGTGAGGCTCCAGTGATGGGGGAAAGCCTGATGATAAACGATGCAAGGGGGCTCTGCTGCTGTCTATAGAGCCTCCATTAGCCTGGCTCTGGTGCTCTGGGTTTTGTTACAAGCAGAGCAGGGAATAGCTGAAGGCTGGGGTACAGCCTGCTGCACAGGCACGCCTCCCCGGGTGACGTCACCATGCAGCTTGTCAACCACCCTTCCCTTTATTATACAGAAAGGGAGGGGGGTAGTGATTGGTCTCTGGGTCACCTAAGCCCCGCCCACAGGCACAGTTCCCCGGAAGGGTCTGTACTGGAAATAGAAGTGTGCTGGGAGAGGAAGGATCCTTGTAGTCGGGTTACAGGAGTCTCAGGCCTCCATTTAACCCTTTAGAGGAGGGGGAGGGGAGAGGAAAAGTTTTCTTAGTCACTTTATAACAATCCAGCACCCAGCCAAGTTAAACAAGGGATTGATTAGTAAGTAACTGGTAAAGCACATTGCTTTGTGTTCTCATCTTGTCACATCTACATGACAAAGGAGTGGTTGGCTGCGCAGGTGTCATGAAACAAATGCACACAGCAAGCTTCTTCTTATGGCATGGGGCAGGATTGTATTGTTCTTCTGTAGCTGGGAGGAGAGTAAGGAATCAGACAAAAAATTATCATCTCTACAGCAATAAGCAAGTCCTGCTTGTGGCACAAGCTTTAACAGTCTCGCTTTATTCTCTGCACACAGGAGAAATGTTTTACAGGGAGTCTGATCTCACACACACACAATTCGGGTCACCGGAAATGACTGCCCATCCCCTGATAGTGATCAGGTGTTTCAGGGTAAAATACATTCTCTCTGATGATGGGAGTTATTGAAGAGCACCAAAACAGGGGTCATAGCTGTGCCGCAACGCATGCAGTAAAGAATGGAATGAATGTACTTATCTCATATCATATATGTATATATCATCTCCATAAAATACATTATATATCCTTTTATAGGAGGATGTCACAATCCTGACAAGCAGCAGGAATCACAGGATGGGGCTGGGAGGATCACTTCATGATTACACATATTTGTCTGATTTCCAACAT